GTCACCAGACTTCCAATTGCCACCCACTTCGGATACAATGAAGTGAACACAGGCGAGATATGTTGCCATATGTTGAAATAGGAGGAACGTGTGCTGTTATACGACGGTAGATTCCAAGGTCAAACTTGTATAGCCAATCAGCTGCGACATTTCCACGTGATGTGTAACATACTCCATGAACAATAAATTGACTACTATCCAGATGCGTGTTGCGTATATAATTAAACGTTTTACAAGGGATAACAGTAGCGTGTGACACATTTGAAGTCCGCATGCAAACATCCAGGTAATGCCAATTAAGACACAGTCTCGTGAAGTTTTGGCACGAGATTTATTCAAGAGGTTCATAAATTAAACGTTAAATTAAGTACACCTATTGCGACATGCAAACAATGTACAGGGTCAGCACTGGGCAATGAGGGGGCGTGATTGTCCAATATTCTTTATTGTGGACAGAGTTGGTTTGTTGTTCAAACGCCGCAATCTACATTGAAAACTGCACTAGCATGTGAAGTGTATCGATCGTGGCTGATTTATTGATCCTTGTCAAATATTATATATATTGGCCAGGCTGGGTGGTTATCACCCCTTAACGCTCATTGGCAGACTAACACTTAGTGTCTGAATATAGATAATTATAATTGTAACAAATAAACCCATTTAAATTGAAAAGGAGCCCCAGGGAGACCAGAGAACCTGGGGAAATCTAGACTTGCTTCTTTTAGGGCTTTAGCATTGCAGGGAGGGCTAGGTGGGTGGGGAAAATAATATGGTTCAGGGACATGGGGGCAAACTACGCTCAATGGATGAGCAAACGCATGCAAATTCAGAAATTTGATGATGATGATGATGATGATGATGATGATGATGATGATGGCGCATTGAATTACTCTGACGGCGTGGATAGGTTGCTCATGATGTCAATCACTGGAGTGACGACTAGTTACAAGCTTCACGTGGGTTTCATTTACCAACAAACCAACAATTTTATTCTCTTTTAGAAGTTAGTAATTCTCCTTGAATATTTCATCATTATCAAATCACCAAACAAATGAATAAGGAAAATGTCAAAAGGAGGAAACTGATTATGCACCAATGGCTGCTAATACTGACAACTAGATGTCAAAGTTCATGACCTCGACACGACCTCCAACGGTAGTGTTGGACTGAACGTGTTGTTCATGTCGTAGTATTGTTACAGTCGGGACATTTCGCATATATTTGGGCAAATTGAAAATATTATGAAAATCAACTTCTCAATAAAGTACAACTTAGTCATTTCAAACATGAAAGCATAATTCATGAAACTGCAATTTTCAATTTTTCCGGAAGTGTCTCTCTTTTTCTCTCTCACACACATACATAGTCACGCACGCACACATGCACGCGCGTACATACATACAGAGGCACGCACGCACACACATCTGCAACTGAAGGCAACATTGAGTTTACATAAGAAAACATCTTAGATTTCTTTAAATGCGGTATTATATGTTATTACTCGTCCGTGTAAGATACTGCAGTGTAATATTTTTACGGCAAAATTACACTAGAGTAATACCGCTAGACGTATGACGTCAACATGGTATACATATATGACGTCACAATTGCTGACACCTCTGTCAGAATGGCATTAGACTTTGCTTGACTCGCGGAAAGCTGAGAGTCATCACATTGTAGGCAGTTTCTATCAAATTATGTTGGAGAGTAATAAACACAATACTAAACTCGCTTCCGTGAAATACCATTTTTTAAACTCGTTAAAGATTTAGTATTAAACTCGTTTGATACCAAATCATTAAATCGTTTAATAAAAATGGTATAACATGAAGCTCGTTTAGTATCCTCTATTTCTGAAACGAGTAATATTTACATAGAAGCTAAAAGAACAAGTTCCAAATTTCAAGCATGTAGTAAAGGGAGATATCAAAATACTATGAAACAACAACCTATATTGCTTACTCTACATGCAGTAACAGCGAGTTCTTTATCTTCTTGTCATCTCTCCATAATCTATTTACTGAAGATATTATGTCAGATAAACATATTGTAGTTATTTAATCGCTATTATCACTATTGGATACACATATGTGAGGTATTCAGAATATATTCCAACATTTGTATCCATTGTGTGAATGGAGATTTGTGAACGTGTATTGATATGAAATATATTCTAATATATACATAGATTATATTTTATTCTGTGGAAATAAAGATGACACATATGAAAAGTAAATGTAACATAATACCTACAAATTCTTACAAAAGCATATAGCTTGGTAGGGATTCGCGAATCTATTAAGTGTAAAATGTTGATACACAGTCACTCATTTACTTCTAAGCGCTAAATTTCGGAGAGATAATCATCTCACAGTCTTCGTGTGACTCTACCCATCATTATGGCCTCCAGTATTGTACTACGACATCACGCCAGTGCCTTGACAATCATTGCTTTCTTCTCCTCTGTCATGTTAATGTCGCTGCCCACGACTAGCCTCATGCTGACAGTGGTCTTTCCTATAAACAAAATATATAAGTTATACGCCCCGAACATCGGCCACAAGGGTTGACTGGAGTCTACCTTGTCTAATGTCGACATCACTTTGTTCTCCTTCACGTCAATGATGACAGTCTTCTTCCTTGCGTCATCATAGACAACACTGTAGTTTAGTGTGTGTGATGTCCCTGCTGTGTTTGGGATGGTATTAGGTAAATGTAGCACATCCTTTCTCTCCTTCCGCGTTACACTGCATATCCCTTCGTGAGTAGCACAGTGGCCGACGGTCAACCAGTAGGCATGAGGAAGACCAGCTACGTAGTTCTTTGTGTCCATGTCTTCCTCAGCACAGACACCAACCTCCAGCAGGAGAGTGTTTTGTCCAGGCCGACCCTGGCCTCCGTCTCCAAGTACTGGGGACAGCCTGCCGGTGAGAGTGGGATAGTGCTGCAGGTACCCCAGTATTTCTTCAGTCTCCCTTCCCCTGCAGACCTGGTGTCCGTATTCCTGTTGACCAAATTTCCTTCGGTGTTGATGTGGGTTCTGTTGAGGTTCACTTTGTCCATATCATACTTAAGGTGTATACCTAGAAAATATGAATGCTTTTTAATTGTACATGCATGAGTGTTAGAGTATGAGACCCGTTTACCAAGCAAAATTATAACAAACTAAGACAGACTAATACATAAATAAGAGTAGTGAAATGTACATACAATGAAGGATTGATGACAACTCCATCTTCCCGACATCAAGGATGTAGATTCCTGAAGGAGAAGAGAAGGGAAACTCTGTTTATTCCTGGTTTTAGTTTACTGTTAACGCTACTGTTACAGCTCGTACGTTGACAAGAACTACTGAATCAGCTTCATTCATTACATGTATACCATTTTGTTGCCTTTTACGTGATTACTGCGCTGTCATATCCATTCTATACTACATAACTGAACATATCAATCATGGTTTAGGTGACAGCATATCTGTTTTAATAGTAAAGCCCATAAACCTTGTGCTAAGCAGTTTCGATATTTTGCAACTTCAAGCAATAATTTCCGTTCAAGCCAGTGCTGTCCTTTGCCATCGTGCACACATTACATTAACAGGGCCAACAATTAAACTCTTTCTTTTTGACGCGTTAGAAACACCAATGTCTAAACTCATACATAGAATTCATGTCCATACATAGAATTAATGACAATCTCACCGAGTGTTTTCAGATGGTCCGTCAAGAATGAGGCAACATCTATAGCACGTTTCCTCTCCGTCTTGAAGACCTAACGTGAAAAGAGCAACACATTCTTATATGACAATGACTTTTGCTTTGTCGAAGGTGGTCTATAACAGAGACACGTGTGGATGGTGCACACAATCATGTAGTACTAGTCTAGTACTTTTGATGGGTTTATTCCCATCCGGGATTCAAACCCAGAGTCAGGCACCTAATCGCCAGCACACAAAGTCAGCCGCCTACCCTGCTCAGCCACCGCAACTTCCAGCCACTTCTGGCGATTAGGTGGCTGACTCTGAGGGTGTGGGTTCGAATCCCGGATGGGACTCAACCCAACAAAAGAACTAGAATTTGTACTTTACTAAGAAAGTGTAATCCCAAATATAACATATGTTACATTTGACAACTTTCTAAATGACACTGTGTAATCACTGATTCTTCTACCTCTTTCACTGCGAACATAACAACTTCTACTATATTACTATCATGTCGTCGCCCAAAAGATTCAGTGTCCTAATTAGGAGATGTTTTTTTAATACGCTCCCATAGCTCCCATAGCTTAAATGAACTGAATTACATGGATATGCACATTACCTGCTATGGTCGGCATGGTATCTGCATCATTTACGTCCTTGTCAGAGGTGCTGACTCTGCCAAACATTGCAACCAACTCGTGAAGAGCCTTATGCCCTGTAGGAGTGAAGGTCAAGGCCTTTGTCTTTATTGAATCTTCAGGAAACGGGTGGAGGCGATCTTCGTTAATCTTGCTAACAATGGTAGACGAGAGATCCATGAACTGGGCATATGTGGTAGACGCCATGGCCCTTTCAGCATAACTTAATGTAGCCAGTACAGCCGATTCTGTGGTTCCAAAGCATTCCATATCCAGAAGATTGCAAAGATTGCGCCTGTGCTTTTCAACTTCATTCTCAATTTGCTGATTGTAAAACTTTAACCTTTTCACTAAATGCAAAGCAAGGTCAGTGTATACGTCAGCTATTTCCTTCGTCAGTTGATGAGCCCTATCCTCCAGCTCTGTCATCCGACACTGTACCTGTCTGGAAGAGATCTGTATCTTCTGCGGGTGTTCCTTGTTCTGATCTAGCTTGTTGACAAGAAGCACTTTAGTTTCTTGAAATGTTTCATCAAGATCTTTAATGCCATGATCCTTGTGTTTTCCTATTGCATTGTTCATCGAAAAAATTGACAATCTTAGTTGGATGATTTGAACACGTCGAGAGAGGTAGTCGTTCCCGAATCGGCATTTCATTAAACTTCTCAGCCAATGCTACAGCATGTTATGAAGTTGCTCTTGTCATCTGTTGCAAAAGCGATTTCATTTCCTCTCACGAAGTCGACTGCTGTATGTTCCTTCTCCAAGTTGATGTCTCGCCCACAAGAACAGACAATGTCCTTCTGGTTGTGCTGGTCAATGCAAGGTTTACAAGCGGCATGGAGACACGGCAAAAGCAGCAGCTGTCCAGTGTCACAATGTGGAGACGCTTGCAGAACACAGGCAGTTTCTTCCACTGATGTAGCTGAAAACAAACACTAGTGTGTGAGTGAGCTTTTACTCTGATTTTAGCAATATTCCAGCAATATCACGGCGGGGGGACACCAGAAATGGGCTTCACACAATGCACCCATGTGGGGAATCGAATCCCGGTCTTCAGCGTGACGAGTGGACGTTTTAACCATTAGGCTACCCCATCGGGGTGTCCTTTATGTCATACAAAGAAACGAAAGCAAATACCAACAGTGTACTGGTGATTTTACAGGTTTTACAATTGTTCGGAATCATATCACTCTATGTTAAAAAGACAAGCCTTGAGGTTTCAATAAGGCAGTGGTTTTACTGAGTTTTCCTTCAATATTGATGTTGGTGAGAGCTTCAGTCTTTTGCTGAGTTTCCACCAAATCCTGAAATTAGGCAATACATATTTTTATTATAATTTGATTTGAAGACCAAATTAAGGATGATGAAGACATTCTGAGATTGCACCATATTATGTCTGAATATTCTTGACCCATGAAGATCGGGTTAGAATTGATCTTCAATAATCCATGCTTGTCGTAAGAGGCGGCTGACGGGATCGGGTGGTTGGGCTCGCTTACTTGGTTGACACATGTCATCCGTTTCCAGTTGCGTAGATCGATGCTCATGCTGTTGATCACTGGGTTGTCTGGGACAGACTCGATCTTTTACAGACCGCCGGAATAGCTGGAATTGCTGAGTGCCGTGTAAAACTAAACTCACTCATTCACTCAATATGCTGGGGCTCGTCGTTTTCAGGCCCCTGCGGCTCCGGGCAAAACTTGATGTTCCCACTTTCTCTGTTGGGCACTGTGAAATCACACCAAGTTCTCAAGTCCGGAATCTTGGTGTAGTATTTGACACATCTCTCTGCATGGAACCACATGTCAACAGTGTTTGTCGCAGAGCGTATTTCCACATTCGGAATATCGGCCTGATCCGCAGGTACCTTGACGAGAGTGCTCTGGTGCAGGCGTATGTAACATCACGCATTGATTACTGCAACTCGTTGCTCAGTGGTATTCCAAATCATGTGCTACACAAGCTACAGAGAGTCCAGAATTCAGCGGCAAGTTTGATCAGAAGAACGAAGAAAATTGAATACATTACCCCCGTCATGAAAAATTTCCATTGGCTCCCAATCAAATTCAGAATCCAATACAAAGTAGTGCTTCTTGTTTTTAAATGCATCCATGGATCTTTCACAACTTGTAAAACCCTATATGTATGTATGTATGTATGAATGCATGCATGCATGTATGTAATCTTTGTCAGATGAAGATTTTATTACTTGTGCTGCTGAAATGTGTAAAATTTAAAACACACCTGGGGGAGGGGGTTAAATTCTACTCAAATGGGTTCACTATATTACATAGACTTGAAATTGTTTTAATACGGTTGAACGTGGTCTACTTCATGAAGGCAAGCATTAGGGTTTGGTTATGAATAGTGTTTGAAAGATCAGGCGCAAAAGGCGCGCTGTCCACGTCATTGAACGCGTTAAGTGTTTTGAGGCCACTTTGAAAACCACTTTGAAAACCACGTTTTTTCGCCATCGCTTTGAGTTCGCCAACGGTCCTCATGATTGCTATGTCAATGTGCGAAAACTTTTTCAAAAAATAAATAGTTATATTCAAGTGCGAAGTCAAATGTCTAATAGGTTGTTCAATCAAGGGAGGTAACTGCGTCAGCCTTCTCTCTGAAATGAAGCGCACACAAAATTCTTTTTTTTTTTAAATGTTTATTCTGAGGAGTCAGTTACGTTCATTGAGATAATCTCTTTTCGTCAAGTAGATGAGATGACCTCGGACCACGTCCGCTCCGTGGGCTTTGCAATGACGATAATGACATTTCCCGCCAATCCTGCACACTTTGCACCCTTTCTGATGGACATTATGTGGATGCCGCAATAGTCCGTGGTGCATTTCCTGTTGCAGGTTTTGATTTTTCCAAGCAGCATGTACTGACACTGAACGGTGCGCATCGTCCCATCTTTATACATATGTAAATATATTTTATACACATCAATAAATATTTTGGTCTAATTGTTTGGCGATCCATACGGTAGCGGCTAATTCTAAGACCACAATAATCAGCTCCCAGTCTTGCTGTGCCTTGGGATGGGTGTAATACTGTGAGACGGTGGGTTCGTCGCCGAGAGGTCCTTGAACGTTCGAAGGTCGTGGTTTTCACTTTGGAGTTGGGCGTTGATGAAATCAATTCTTTCCATGCGTTTTTTCGCGTACTCGGCTTGTGCAGCCTGTAGTTGCTCCACGGCCAAAATCGTGGCGTTTCCATTTCTCTTCGATTTCAGCCGCGTTGGACGATCATTATTCGGGAAAAGAGATAATTGCTCCCCGAAAAGGCTATGGCGTTGACTAAAGCCCCGCCGAGTATGATCGTGACCGTGGCCATATTTATATGTACGTTATTATTTTTTTTTATTTCAATATGTTTATGTTTATACCGTGATGTGATAGTTTCTTAACTGGTCACGTGACTGTATCAGGTTTTTACATTGGTGTACAGCCTCACTGGTCCCCCAAGATAGCAAATATATTTGCATGATGACCACCACTCTTTAAAAATGTAATTTAGTTAGACAACAATGAGCGATCAATAATCATACTGATTAATCCTTTGAAGGAACGACGTTGTTTTCACACGGGCACTTTACAACAGAGTGTTGCTATATTCAGTGTACATAGCGAATCTACATAAACGCTACATAGACACTACCTTTTAACAATTCCGCTTTGCAAGAAAAAAGTAATTTATTAATCAGCGTGTTATCGGTTAATCCTTTGATCGATGTTTTTTTTATCACAGCTGATGATTCCTCAATGCTCACATTATTATAAAATAAATAAAATTAATAACTGTATATAGCTATTTATCTAAGTAAATTATCAGACGCTTATAGCAATGGCAAAGTGGGGTTTGATTTCGTTTGTAATATAAGTCAATAGACATCACATTGTTTCATAACACGAGGTAAAAACCACAGAAATAGGATCAATTTGGATCAGTCATCATACCATCCAGGCATCAGAAAATCTTAAAAAGCCTACACTGCTTGGATACTTTTTGAGAATTAGACAACAACTACCGGGGATGTTTTCAAATAACAGCATCTGATTGGCATCCGCCATTCTTATTGTCCCATTGTTTAGGTTGAAGAAATTCTGCCAAGATGGATAGTTGCCCAGTCCCCGTGTCCGTCACGGTCGAGGGAGCAGGGACTGACCACCTGGCGTAATTAGGTTGTTCATGCTAAACATTATTCGCTCTGGATCAGTGCCCCTATTATGGTGGACTTCGGAGTACGGTGACCACTCCGGGCCAGATTCATTTCATTCACGAGAGACTAATTCATATACACCCGGAGAGGCCACTAGGGGCATAAATCAATTGTACACTTGCGCAATATTCTGCACATCCATCCGCATTGACAATATTTGCGTACTATTCTCTTCACTAGGAGCCTGATTTCAATGTCAGTCAGTCGGTTCTCTTTAATGGATTGATTTGATTTAGTAGAACATGAATCAGACACAGGTAAGTGTATTGACATACTATTGTTCTGCAGTCATAACATGCAAAGTGATTTTACAGTTTTAGTTGGAGTTTATAACTTTTCCACACCACATGCCCACCACTGTTCTGTTGTCGTTGTTGCTGTAGGTATATATTACAGAAAGCCAAGATCGTATAATATATAACTGTACATGATATTTTATGTAAGAGAGGGTCCTTTCTAGTCAAATGAAGACAGTACGAGCCTGGCGACATTCACGTGTTTAGTTAGATGCCTCAGTTAGAGTAACCTCCCTTTGCTAGCCTTGCGGAGGCTACATGCAGCTACCACTACATCTCCCTTTCTGAAAATGGACAATGGTGCAGAACACGATTTACTCTTATGAATTTCACTTCAAATGAAACAAAAGTTAACCATATATCAGATGACCTGAAACAAACGAATAGCCCAATCAAATGTCCTTTAACAGTGAACTAGACAATTAGAAACGAATTAAACAGTTCTTGTATGGCTTCTTTAAGTGATAAACCTACAACACATGTATACTGATGGATTTATTTTAATGTCCATATCTATCTGGACCTCTGGATGCTCTGCCCGATCTTGTTATATAGTCATTACGTTGTCCATGGTTGTGATGACTTATGCCCTGTGCCTTTGAAGGAAAACTCGTGGCTGGCTCCTTAGACGAAGGGTGGTCCGGAACAGGCTTTTCCTCAGACAGTAGTGCATTCAGCTGTCTTCAGTTTCGTCTGTATCGGCCTGAGTCTGTCTTGATGATGTACGATCGTGGACCGACTTGGTCTACCAGACTCCCAACTTCCTCTCTGTCTGGAATCCATGCTCTGTCTCCCCTTTTACGGACTGGAAGAGAGTGGACTGCATGGTGTCTGTTGAAGTTTTCTTCCTCAGCTCGACGTTTGTGTTGTTCATGCTTGATGAACTGAGACTTGTCTGTTGGTTTAACATCTAGTTGTGTTGGAACCACTGGCAGTGTAGTTCGCAACTTCCGTGACATCAAGAGTTCGGCTGGACTGTATCCACAGCTAAGTGGAGTAGCACGATAGCTGGGAAGAGCTTTGTAGGGATCAGCTGATGCTTTCGGGAGTGTCTTTATGATACGAACTGCCCTTTCAGCCTCACCATTTCCAGAGGACTACTGCTTACATGAGAGAAACCATATTCTCTGCTGAATCTTGCAAATTCCTCAGAGGCATATTGAGGCCCATTATCTGATATCATCACCTGTGGAATACCGTGTCTTGCGAAGATGCTCTTCAAACTGTTGATCACATCTTTGGAAGTAGTGGACGAGAGCTTGGATATTTCTATAAACCTTGAGAAGTAGTCCACTACAAGCACATAATGAGATCTTCTGATCTCGAACAGATCAGAAGCTACTCTTTCCCACGGCCTGTCTGGGAGTTCTGATGCAATCAGAGGTTCAGGAGGATTGTTGTTTTCTTGATACACACATGGCACTTAGACACAAACTCTCCAATCTGTTTGCTGAGGTTTGGCCACCAAACACACTGTTTGGCACGATCACGGGTTTTAGTAATTCCTTGATGTCCATCATGTATTTTCTCAAGGATGTCTGGTCTCATGACTTGGGGTATGACAATCCTTTCACCATAGAGAAGTAGACCATTGTACATTGTCAGTTCACCTTGGTATGGCCAAAAGTGTTTCGCAATGCCTTTGATCTGGTGTTTCTCTGGCCAACCTTGTGTACAGTACCTCGTGATTTCTCTGCACACCTCATCTTCTTGCTGGTAGAGTTTAATCTCTTCTAGTTTCTTATCTGAAGCTGGGAAAGCTGCAGCAACTTGATTGATGTAGACTTCAGCGTCTTGCTCCAGTGCCATGTCCGAGGCCTTTGGTGAGTCCATTGGAGCTCTAGAGAGAGCATCAGCTGTGTAGAGTTATCGCCCAGGAACGTGCTGTATGGAGTATGAGAACCTCATAAGTCTCATTCTGAAGCGCTGAACCCACGGTGGCAAGTGATCAAGATCCTTCATCCCAAGGAGAGGGATCAAAGGCTTGTGATCCGTCTCGAGGACAACCTGAATACCAACGAGGTAATCTTGAAACCTTTCACATGCCCATGTCAGAGCTAGGGCCTCTTTCTCTATGTGAGCGTACCTTGTCTCTGTGTCTGAGAGGGAGTGTGATGCATACACCACTGGACGCCAACCTTCCTTGTGTTCTTGAGTAAGAACAGCACCTAAGCCAAAGTATGATGCATCTGCTCTAACTTTGGTCGGGAGATTCGGATTTCCCCGTTCCCCGTAGAGGTTTAGTCATGGCAGCCAGATTCACGATAAACTTTCCCAGTTGGTTAACCATACCTAAGAATCGGCGAACGTCAGCAAAATTCTTAGGTTCTTGCATGTCTTTGACAGCAGCGACCTTGTCCATACTGAGCTGGATACCTTTGTCGCTGACAGTCTGTCCCAGAAACTGTACTTGTGACTTTCCAAATTCACATTTGTTCTTGTTGAGAGTGAATCCTGCTTCTCTGAGAGCTGTGAGAGTTGTTCTCACCTGATCATCATGTTCCTGAACATCCTGTCCATGAATGATATGGCTGAAATATTGCCGAGGTGACGTTAAATTCTAACTCACTCACTTAACTCACTCACTCACTCACTGTTCATGAATGAGGATGTCATCCATTATTCCGATAGTACCTTCCTGACCATCGAGGAGGCTTGAGACTTGTTTCTGGAAGTACTCTGGTGCCGAGGTGATCCCAAAAGGTAACCTGGTGTAGCAGTACCTGCCAAATGGTGTGATGAAAGTAGTCAACAGAGCAGAATTTTCTGTAAGCTTAATTTGATGAAATCCAGAGTTTGCATCAATCTTTGTGAAGACTTTTGCATTGGCCAACTGTCCGAGTGTATGATCCACAGTTGGAAACATATGTCGTTCTCTGGACACCGACAGATTGAGCTGCCTGAGATCTACACGGATCCTGACATCACCGTTTGATTTTGGAACCACAATCATCGGAGCACACCAGTCTGTTGGCTCCTCCACTTTCCAGATGACTCCCATACCTTCCAGCTTATCCAGTTGAGTCTTGACCTGAAGTTGGATAGGGATAGGAACTCGTCTTGGAAAGGTGACTGCATACGGATGGGCATCAGGCTGAACTTTGATCTCATATTCCTGTGCCAGTTTTCCGAGCCCAGTGAATAACTCTGGGAATTCCTTTGTCACACCGTCCATGGTCAAAGTTCCACAGAAGGCAAGAATGCCCAAGTACTCACTTGCCTTGCAACTCAACAGAAGATGTGAGGTATCCGTCAATACATACACCTTTTCAACCAGTGATTTCTGCTTCCATTTCAATGTTGCCTTAAAGTATCCATCCATGGTTAGTTTGTTCTGCAAACCTTTGAGGACACGGTCCGGTGGAGTGAGATGTCTTCGTGGAAAGTTCGTATCAAAACATACCTTTGATATAACTGTAACATCAGCCCCAGTGTCGGCTTTCAGTGAGACCTTAACACCATCAACCATGACCTCAGCATAGTGATAGTCTTTCACTTTAGGAGTATTGGAACCAAATGCACCGAGAAAAACTTCATCAGTTTTCTCCTCTTCTTCTTCCTCGTCTATCACCTGCACATATCCGCGTGACTGACACATGGAGGAGTAGTGCCCTCTCTTTTTGCAGGAGTGACAAACAGCATTTCTAGCCGGTCACACACATCTCTCGTGTGGCTCCTTTCCACAATAGTCACATTTTCCGTGTGAACGTCCCTTGTTCTGGCTAATGGGGTTGGCTGCACCTTGAGCTCTCCCTGAATATAGTTTCATATTACCACCACGTCCTGAAGAAGGCTTTGACCTTGTGGCTTGACCTTTACCTCTTGACCTGTACGAGTTTTTTCCAACATATCCAACTGCTGCAGACTTTTCTTCCTGTAGACTTTTAACCTGAGATTCACTAGCCTCAGCAGTCCTGCAAATATTCAGTGCCATCTCAAGGGTTAAATCCTGTTATTACCCATACGGGCTAGGATACACAGGTGATTATTTTTGTGATAATTGCACATGTGCTTTTCAGTGATTCTCAACGTTGATTGGTCAGCTAAGCAGAGAAGAAATATGATTGGTTGACGGAACTACTTTTCATGATCCACGTTCATTGACAACTTTTACCGTTTCATTGATAATTAGAACGTGCTGTAATCACACATTCCGAGATTTAAAAAAGAAAACATAAAGGTTAAAGAATATGAATAATCTTTTTTTTAGACGTTATTAATTTGCAATACAATTGCGTTATAAATAGCAGTCTTTTTAAATTATATAATCTTAAAAAAAACACCAAAAACAATCGTTTGCATTGTTTTATAAACAAACATGGCCGCCGTTAGGCTAACCCCGATCAAGGTCACTTACCTAGTTAAAGTTGACGGTGACCAAATAGGAAGAGTGATAAGAATTTTACAGCCCTTGAATTCCCAAAAACCTGTTTGTTGTTAAAACTGAATTCGGGAAAATAGAAACAGCAAGATACCGACTAAAAATGTTATCTGAAAGTGTAACAAGTGAGTCGGACAAGGCGTCCATGCCATCGAACCAGAAAACAGCTCCTTTCTTACCGGAATCAGTGCTAAAGCAGTGCTAAATGTTCTTCTTCAAGATGACTTTTTATATCCATGCATTCCTAATCAATCCCAGAGGTTGGTCCCAGTAGCCGATGCAGAGATTGACACATTTCATAGACTCGGATTCCGACTAGAGTTATCCTTCTTGGAACTGCTGTACTCTAAGTACTGTGACGTGAGTGTAACAGGCCTTCCACAGAACAAAATGTTGTCTAATCTTCAAACTTGTTGAGTTTCTTGACAGAAAACTTTTTCTAGATGTATTTGTGGGATGATTGTCTTTTAGATTTCCCAACTTTTAACCGTTGACTTTCCCAAAATTGACAGGTTTTTGCCAGAGTGTGTTTCAACACTACACCGTCACCCCTCACTAGAAAACACGTCAGTCGTGAATAAACGATGTTCCGTCGCACTGACTTGATCGAATAAATGTTTAGCTGTTATTAAGTTCAATGATATATTTAAAAGATCATTTTCATCATATTAACAAATGTTGATTAATTATTCCAGACATAATAATTTTGTTGTATTTTAGAGCGATTTTATGATGTACTATTTCCATAGCGTAGTAATGTTATTACACCTGGAGAAGTTAGGTTTAATACGCGCATGAATACGAATCAGCTGTTTGAGGTCACAAGTCCTGTCTCCGGGTGGTTTGATATCGTGGTTCTTCCTTTTAAATTACATTATGGGTAATAAATAGAATAACCAACTCAGTACGAGTGATTACGGGAAATATGCCCTCGTTAAAATAATGTTCAGTGCCTCGCCAAGGCTCGGCACTGTGAACATTATTTCAACTCGGGCATATTTCCCGTAATCACTCGTACCGAGTTGGTTATTCTCTAATTCTCTCAAAAGTCTTGACCTGACTTCCTCGCTACATATGCCAAGCACTATGCAATCACGCACTAAAGAGTCTCTTAAGTCATCAAATTCACATGTTGCACTTTTGTTTCTAATATCAGAGTAAAAAGTGTCAAACTTCTCACCAGGGCTTTGGTTCCGGCTGCCGAAAATATACCTCTCAAATGTAATATTTTTCCTCGGATCGCAATATGCCTCAAATTTTCCAAACAAAGTTTTCATTTTCCCCAAATTCAAAAGTGTTGTAAACCAATCTGGCCTCCTTCCCAATCACATGCAACAGTGTATTTGCCTGAATTTTCGCTGGTTTACGGTCTAAACCACTGGCAATTGAATAAATTTCAAATTCCTGCTTGAAAATCCTAAAGTTTTCATCTAAATTTCCAGTCAAATCCAACGGAGAGGGTGTTTTTAGATTGTTCATAGTGAGTTAAACAAACGGTCGGCAGGACGATGAATTCAAGGAGTTGATGCGTAGGTAATCCTAACACGAAGACGGAAGGGTATGCAGGTGGACGATTATTACAGTGAGCGCACTCAACGACGTCCGATTGCCATTACTTTTAGAGTTCTATCACTTAGAAGAAAACTTTTTCAGGACACTGAACCTATGTATACACACGTTTGAGGAATATCCCAAGGAAACCAGTCACTTCTGACACCATGTTATGTTAGAGGGGGTCCTTTCTAGTCAAATGAAGACAGAACGAGCTTGGCGACATTCACGTGTTTACTTAGATGCCTCAGTTAGAGTAGCTTCCCCTAGGCTAGCCTTGCGGAGGCTACATACAGCTACCACTACCGTACAGACCTGTAGCTGGACAAAAATCAATAGATATCAATTACTGGTAACAAATATTTATCTGCATACAGATTTCTTAACGTGACATCTTTTCTTCTTCTAAATGTAGCCTTCTCCTCCTCTTTACATTCAATTTATTTGCAAAATGTCTTTCAGTACTTCCATGTTCCCCTCTTCTGTTTGTACAATGCGTCCTTTCCCTGAAACAAGATCAATTTGAATAGTAGCACTTGACATTGAATACAAACAGTTAAATGAATGCTTATATGTCCAATAACCTAATGCACAAGAATCTTATTTTATTTATTTGTAATAGAATATGTGGGGCGGTGGGGTAGCCCAGTAGTTAAAACATTCGCTCGTCATGCCGATGAGCGCAAGTGTACAATATATGTATGCCTCTAGTGGCCTCTCCCGGTGTATGAATTAGTTTCTCGTGAATGAGATGAATCTGGCCCGGAGTGGTCACCGTACTCCGGAGTTCGCAATTAAAGGGGCACTGATCCAGAGCGAATAATATTTAGCATGAACAATCTAATTACGCCAGGTGGTCAGTCCCTGCTCCCTCGACCGTGACGGGCACTGGGCAACTGTCCAGAGCGAATAATATTTAGCATGAACAATCTAATTACGCCAGGTGGTCAGTCCCTGCTCCCTCGACCGTGACGGGCACTGGGCAACTGTCCAGAGCGAATAATGCTTAGCATGAACAATCTAATTACGCCAGGTGGTCAGTCCCTGCTCCCTCGACCGTGACGGACACGGGGACTGAGCAACTGTCCATCTTGGCAGAATTTCTTCAACTTAAACAATGGGACAATAAGAATGGCGGATGCCAATCAGATGCCGTTATTTGAAAACATCCCCGGTAGTTGTTGTCTAATTCTCAAAAAGTACCCAAGCAGTGTAGGCTTTTTAAGATTTTCTGATGCCTGGATGGTATGATGACTGATCCAATTTGATCCTATTTCTGTAGTTTTTACCTCATGTTATGAAACAATGTGATGTCTATTGACTTATATTACAAACGAAATCAAACCCCACTTTGCCATTGCTATAAGCGTCTGAAAATTTACTTAGATAAATAGCTACATACAGTTTTTAATTTTATTATAACTTTATTTATTTTATAATAATGTGAGCATTGACATTCAGCAAGAGGAATCATCAGCTGAGATAAAAACAAACATCGATCAAAGGATTAACCGATAACACGCTGATTAATAAATTACTTTTTTCTTGCAAAGCGGAATTGTTAAAAGGTAGTGTTTATGAAGCGTCTATGTAGATTACCAACGTACACTGAACATAGCAACATTCTGTCGTAAAGTGCCTGTGTAAAAACAACATCCTTCCTTCAAAGGATTAATCAGTATGATTATTGATCGCTCATTGTTGTCTAACTAAATTACATTTTTAAAGAGTGGTGGTCATCATGCAAATATATTTGCTATCTTGGGGGACCAATGAGGCTATACACCAATGTCAAAACCTGATACAGCCACGTGACCAGTTGAGAAACTATCACTAGTTATAACGGTATGTACATGTTTTCATATGAGACTGTTAAATGGCATGGAACAGGTTTCTTTGTCATCTGCAGATGAATGGGATATCGTTCCTTTATGTGGATACTGATGGATGCATTCCTCGAACAAGGTAATAGTCTGATATTATTGCTTTAACTTTAGTCGGTTTTAATTCAATTTATGTATTATATTTTAATTCATTTGTTGTAGCATTCAGCAGAATCATTCCAATTCATTTATTTTCACCATTAATTTATTCGATGAGACAGATGACATACACAAGGTCGCACTTAGGTCGTGTGTGTGAATATGAATCACGTTTGCAATCTATAAAATGTCTAGATGTTACAGTCATGTTATAAATTCACTAAAACAGATCGTGTACTTTTTTTTATAAATTTCAACATGCATAAAAATATAATAACAAATCCATTAGGATTATAAGACAAAAATATACAGGCCTACATTGACTATTTTTTTTGTCAGTTCTAACATTTTGTATCACTGGCAGACGAAGTTAGATATATTCATTCATTTGTTATCATAATAATGAAAATGGAAATATTAACGAGTTAAAAAGTTAATCATCTTTGTTGATCAATGCAAGGATATACATATACTACCAATTGCGCTTGCGTGTGGCGCAGCAGAGATCGCAGCCCAGTCAAGAATTCTGGCATATCTTCCAGGTACTCACGGGAGAAAAGCAATAACAAAAAGCAACAACCAGTCACGGAAATACCTCTTCATCAGTGTCTACAAGGTGTGTTACCGGGTAGAGAAGGCGACAGGTTGGCTGAATACTGCTTGTTCAAGGTAGTGTTGGTTTTA